TCCAATGACAGATATATGGTTGAGCTAGAGTCAGTATGCAAGAGCAGGCATGGCAAATTTGGAATCTGAGGCAAATTTAGAAGTTTGTGCTTGCAAGAGGAAAAATGAGAAAAGAGGGAAAGAGAAGAAGATGGGAGGGGGGGAAAGGCACAAATCAGGGCTAAAGTGGCTGGACTTGAGCGGTGCATTTGTCGGCACAGCCTAACTGTGCTGAAAGCCAAAGAAGAGATGGCTATTCCTCTGAGTGTCATGAACAAGTTGCTAACAACGAGCGAAAACCAACAAAACCTTTGTGACTTTCCTGTATCCAGGACTATCTGACATGTGCAAAATCCCCAAAGGCTATGCCAGCACCAAGGTCTTGCCTAAGCCTTTGCCTGCAGAGAGCTCTCTTGGGCTCCTTTCACGTACCCAATGCCCATTGAGTTTGTGAGCCCAGGAGGTCCATGAAGGGTACAGTGTAAAAATGGGAGTCCTCAGGGCAGGAGGAGAGAGAGAGTTGTAGGTCTTTATAAAAGCACTGGGAAAAACTATGCAGAAATGGTGAACAACTATCCTGGCTATTTCTGTCTGCACACGTCTTTTGGGAGAGCACGACTGGGTACGGGAATATTTTCTGGGTTGGACAACGACAACCCAAGCTTGGTCCTGTAGATTTATTATTTGCACGTTCAAGGACTGAGTCACCAGCTACTTCTGTTTGCGAGCGCAACCTGCTTGGAGCTGGCACCCTGCCCTACTGCTGCACGTGACAGCGCAAGATTATCTGGCTGCTGGACCATTTTACGCAGGTGGTATAGGGGCGAGCTCCTTATGTTTGCCTCTAAAATTACAGTAAAATATCTCCAAAGCCACAATTACTGTACCTGGTTCTGTTTAACAAAGCTTTTAACCTCCAGACCCCGGGCTTTTCCAGCTGTATTGCTTTTGGCAGGAACACGGTTCGTTTGTCCCGTAGCGCTGCTGGCAGAAAGCAGATGCTTTCTTTCAAGCAAATGAAGCTCCTCGGTACGGACAGTGCAAAGCACATCCCGACATTTGAAGCAGATGCTGGGGAGTGACTCAGGTGCAGTCGTCTGTCCCACTGTCCTATTTTCCCCCAAAATAAAGGGAGGGAGGAGGAAAAAAAGAAAACCCCAAAAAGCTACATTTAAATGCACAGCTTGGCTGCAATAGCTAGGTAAGGACACACAAATGCAGATTTTTTTCCAGCTAGATGGAAGTTGGCCCGTGTCGTCAGAGTTATTTTGATGCTCGTTAGGTGTCTCTGAAGACCTGGAACATTGTGCCCCGATTTTAACATTGCCAAAATCTTCTAACACTCAGTGTTTTAGCACGGTTACGGTGTGATCATGACATTATGATGATTTTAACACAGTTTCACTGAGGTACCTGCCTACGGAACAAACTTGAGGTGGCTTCAAATTCAGACTAGCAACAGCACAGGAGTGGAAGACAAAAGAAAGATGGAGAAACGGGAGAGAAAAATACTGGAGAGAAGGCAATAAATGAGAGAAACCTCAACAGAGTAACACAAAGGCAAGTGAAGGGAGAACACAGAGCCTTAGACGCTCACGTAAGCAGCAAGATTTCATTTATTTGAAAGGGAGAGACAATAGTGCTGCTAGCCAGGATAGCTATTGTTCCTTTGTTTTTACAAAAACAAAAAGGGAAAATGTGAAGTACTGGCTTCCCAGGGAAAAATTACAAAAATAAGTTCTCATCCTGCTGTCTGCCAAGGAGCCCAAAGATTCTCATACCTCATCCAGTGCCCCGGTGCTGTTAGTCACCAGTGTACTTGTCAGTTTAAAGAAAAAATGAAATATATGGAGGCCTTGCTCTATCTGAGGAGGGCTAAGAGATTTAAAAAATCAATCAAAAATGAGTTACTTTGATCTAAAAAATGGAGTCAATGTGGTAGGCAGGAAAACGCCCCACGCTACTTGCTGTGCAGCTGAGCACCCACATGCTGCGGGGTGGCCAATGTCTCAGAGCTGAGCACAACACGGGAATATTCCCTTTGGCTTTTTTGGGTGCTTTTCCACAATGAAGGTAGGAAGACAAAGCAAAGCCACTAACTGCTGCACTCCCTTGGAGGTGGGAAGAGGGAGCAGAAGACCTTAAATTCAGACAGCCAGAGGTGGCTCAAGTGCGAGGATGGCAGCTGGGGAATAAGGACGCTCTGCTCAGAGACGCTGCCTTGCTCACGGCTTTTAGGAGCGCAGGGAGGTGTAAGCTGCGGGATGCAGCGGGATTCGGGAGCCCTGGCACAAACACAGCAGGTCCTCTCAGCAGCAGGGACCTTTCTTGGCATACAGGTGAACCCGTTAGAGCTGCGTGGAGGATGCAAACATGGAATTTCCCTTTTTAGCCCCTTAGCTAGGAAGCAAACAGCTGTCCCGGGGAGGCAGGGGTGCCACATACGCCTGCATCCCTGAACCCGGGGCGTCCTGCCCAATCCCAGTATTTCTCTACACAGATGAGGAGGGTTTCTGTGGAGGAAGCTGAGGGAAGACATTATTTGGGAAGCCAAAGCACATCAACAGTGTATTTATTGTTCAGAGAGTTACTGTTCTTCACAACGAACAGGCTTCATCTGGAAAAGGACAAGCCTGGCAGAGCTCTGCAACAACCACGGTACAAATAAACAGAGCTGAATCAAAGCGCAATGATTTTTTTAACCTTTGCTAATCAAAGCTGTGCTGGGGCTCACCTGCATGCTCATATGGAACACAAAGGATGCAGCCCCGGAGCCAAATCCTTTACTGATACATAAGGCAAGCTCCCAGCTTAATATACTGTCACTGAGGGGCATAATAAATATTCATGTTCGTTTATAACTTAGTGCACGTTAGTTGCCCCGCTGGCTTCATCACCTATTCCTATTGCTTGGTCTGGGATAAGAACATTTGTGCTCTTGAGTTTCTCTGTTCTCAGGGAGGCTTTTGGAGCCACCCTCACTATTCAGTACCTGCCAACAAAAGACAAGATATTTTTATTCTAGACAATTTAGTAAGTGCATAATTATTTGTACATCTAAGGCCTACGCGGAGGAGAAACATCATTCCGGGTATTTCAACAGCCCACGTTTCTGTATTTTCCCTTGCTTGTTATCATTTGCTGTTAGATCTGTATCAACACCCATTTCTTTTGAGTTTATTTTGCTTACATGCAGTGCTTTCCATTCCCTGTTCACATCGCACCCTTCCCCATTTTTGGTATTTTGCTCGCCAATCCCTATGCCAATTCTGCATTTTCAAACTTTTCAGGAATCCCAGCATCCTTCTCGAGGGCAAAGCCCTCGCATCCTTGCTCGTGAGCCAGGGAAGGGGATCAGGAGCTTGGCCATTCGGGGGTCCCGAGGCGCTGCTGCAGCCGAAACTTTGTGTTCAGCAGCCCCGGAGCCCTCCGTTAACACAAAGTGACCGAGGGGAGCAATTCCGCGGCGGGCTCGGGCTCCTTCTTCCCAGGCTGGCGTTGCAGCCGAACAATGGGATGAGCGCCCGTGCTCGGGCCGGGCGGCCGCGCCGCCCGCAGGGGGGAAGTCGGCGCGCGCCGTCGGGGCTTAAAAGGCTCCCGCGCGCCGCGCCGCGACACTGCCCGGCGGCCGCCGCGGGGCCACGGGAGCCGCCGCCGCCAGGGCCGCGCGGGCCACGCGCCCCGCGGCGCCCGCTCCGCTCCGCTCCGGTCTCCTCCGCGATGGCTCTGCCCGGATCCCCCCCCGGCGCTCGGCGCGGCGCGGCCGCATCCGTGAGTAATTCCTGGTAATAATTCCTGCTAATTCAGCCCCCGGCGCCGCCGGGGCGCGGGGGAGGCGGGCGCGCTGCTTTGCTTGCTTTTATTTATTTATTTGTTTTCTTCTGGTTGCGCGTCCCCCCCTCCCCTTTCGGGTTTTATATTATTTTTGTTTTCTCAATAAAACCCCACGCGAGGAGGCGAGATGACAAAGGAAACGTGATCCTGGGCGCTGCAGGGGCTCCGCGCGGAGCGGCGAGCAGCGGCGGGAGGAGGAGGAGGGGGCGAGCGCGGCGCGGCGCGCTCGGCTAGCATTGCACAGCGGCTCCAATTTGTGCGAGCGAATATAATCCACCCCCCATGAATAATGCAGACCTGCCGCCGCTCCGCTGCCCGGCCCGGGCGGCGTGAGGGGCTGCCGCCCGCCCCCAGCCCCTCTTTCTCCTCCCGTTGCCTCGCCCGTGTCCCGGCGGGGTGGGCACCGCGGCCGCCTCCCTGCCCGCCCGCGCCGGTCGCTGGGGCAGCCGGGGGCCCGGCCGCGTTTCACCGCTCTGCCCCGGATGGCAGAACCGGGCAGGGGGAGATGAAGCGAGACTTCCCCTGCCCTCGCGGCAAGCGCGGCTCTAAAGCCAAAGAGGGGGAGGAAGGAGAAAGAGAACAAGCGAGAGCCCCCCCAGCGCCCCGAGAAGACAGCGCGAAAGTTGCGTTTAGGCCGGCCCCGGCGGGGACGCGCTGGCCGCGGGCTGCGGGCAGTGGCCCGTGGCCTCAGGACGAGCGACCCGCAGCACGCTGCCTTGTCGCGCTGCTGGGCCCGGGGGGGCGCGGAGGACGGGGCCGCCCACAGGCGAACGCGGGGCCGACACCATTTGCCCGGGCATCGGGGCTGGAGTGCATGTCGGGGGGAGAGGCGCCGTGCGCCGGGAGCGCGCAGGACGGCTGCACCAGGGTGCCGAAATGAAATAACCCCCCCCCAACACCCGCATCCCTCCCCGCAGCGAGCCCGGCAGCCGCGAGGTGCGAGGCGAGGACCCAGCTCCCTGCGGACCGCCGGATCGATGACACCCTATTTGCGAAACCGCCCCATCGATCCCGCTTGGCAAAACGACTAACCCATGCCAGCTCGCTCGTAAGCCCTCCGCAAAAACAAAGCAGAAACCCCCCCAAAACTACCTTCTCCCCGCCGGCTGCCCCCCGGCGCCCTGCTGGGGGCCGAGGGGGCCCGAGCACAACCCCCCCCCCCCAGCCCCACGCCAGCCCGCTCGCAAATGGCTTCGTTCCCCGAGTCGGACTTCCAGGTGTGCCCGCTGTGCAAGGAGATGTGCGGCTCGCCGGCGCCGCTCTCCTCCAACTCCTCCACGTCGTCGTCCTCCTCGCAGACGTCCGGCTCGTCCGGGGGCGGCGGCGGGGGCCCGCCGTGCGGGGCCCCGGCGCGGCGCCTGCACGTCCTGCCCTGCCTGCACGCCTTCTGCCGCCAGTGCCTGGAGGCGCAGCGGCACCCGGGCGACGCGCTCAAGCTGCGCTGCCCCGTCTGCGACCAGAAGGTGGTGATCTCGGAGCCCTCGGGCATGGACGCGCTGCCCACCTCCAACTTCCTCCTCAGCAACCTGCTCGACGTCGTCGTCGTGGCGGCCGCCGCCGACGAGCAGAAGAACGGCCGCGCCGCGGGCTCCGGGCCCGCCGCCGGCTCCGGCGCCGGGGGAGGCGGCGGCGGCGGCGGCAACAACCGCC